CTGTTTTGCTGTGGCGAGGGCGCCGTTTGTGAGCCTTTACGGCTGGAAGAGAGCTAGTTTTCTTGTAGGTTCAGAAAGCAACGTTAGGCAGTGGGAGCCGTTGCCCGGAGGCTCGGTCCGTCTTTCAGGGCCCTGCTGTTTGGGCGTGGCGGAGGCGCCGTTTGTGAGCCTTGACGGCTGGAAGAGAGCTAGTTGGGGAGCCGTTGCCCGGAGGCTCGGTCCGTCCTTCAGGGCCCTGCTGTTTTGCTGTGGCGAGGGCGCCGTTTGTGAGCCTTGACGGCTGGAAGAGAGCTAGTTTTCGTGTAGGTTCAGAAAGCAACGTTAGGCACTGGGAGCCGTTGCCCGGAGGCTCGGTCCGTCCTTCAGGGCCCTGCTGTTTTGCTGTGGCGGAGGCGCCGTTTGTGAGCCTTGACGGCTGGAAGAGAGCTAGTTTTCTTGTAGCTTCAGAAAGCAACGTTAGGCAGTGGGAGCCGTTGCCCGGAGGCTCGGTCCGTCCTTCAGGGCCCTGCTGTTTTGCTGTGGCGGAGGCGCCGGTTGTGAGCCTTGACGGCTGGAAGAGAGCTAGTTTGGGAGCCGTTGCCCGGAGGCTCGGTCCGTCCTTCAGGGCCCTGCTGTTTTGCTGTGGCGAGGGCGCCGTTTGTGAGCCTTGACAGCTGGAAGAGAGCTAGTTTTCTTGTAGCTTCAGAAAGCAACGTTAGTAACGTTAAGCAGTGGGAGCCGTTGCCCGGAGGCTCGGTCCGTCCTTCAGGGCCCTGCTGTTTTGCTGTGGCGAGGGCGCCGTTTGTGAGCCTTGACGGCTGGAAGAGAGCTAGTTTTCTTGTAGGTTCAGAAAGCAACGTTAGGCAGTGGGCGCCGTTGCCCGGAGGCTCGGTCCGTCCTTCAGGGCCCTGCTGTTTTGCTCAATGGGAGATATGCCCAGGGGTCGGCGGCAGGGGGCGGAGCCCTTTAATAATATTCCAAGAGTTCGAGACATCACTACTGGCACACAACGCAACAATGCTGGCCCTGTCTCTTAAAAGCTTAAACCACTGCCACAACCTTTCCAAGAAGGGACGATTTCTCACCAAACAAGGCTTCGCGACACTCACAACCCACAGCTGTCTGTCCTTGTTGAGCCATGGATCCTGACAGGCTAGCTTGGATACTGTCTTAACGTGGGGATCGAACCTGAAATTTCCAACCCTCCAATTTGTAATCCAGACAAATACTGCCTTGGGAATCCAACTCCAAAAGGTAAAGTCTCAAAATATCCAAAGGATTCTTAAAGGAATGGATTGAATGGACTGGGAAGTACACCTCTTTGGCTCAGATCTCAACCCACCTGCTTCAGCACATGGATCTGCTGCTCAGATAGGACAGGATTTTGCCGCCGAGGCGCACCGCCTCGGGAATCTGGTTCCATTGACCATCCACGAGAGGCCTCACAGCCTCGCAAGCCTCGCAAGCCTCGCAAGCCTCGCAAGCCTCGCAAGCCTCGCAAGCCTCGCAAGCCTCGCAAGCCTCGCAAGCCTCGCAAGCCTCGCAAGCCTCGCACACGCACCGCACACCCCAAACGACCTGGGATCCCGGCTGCTTTGGGGCGGCCTCGCAGGGGCGTGCAGGTTCAAAGCCCGTCGGTTTCTTGTTGTATCACAATCTGAAACGACGTTTCCAGACGTGGCTAAAGCCCAAAGGATACTAATCGGGGTGCCCAAAATCGCAAATTGGTCTACACAAGATTCACCCAACCTTTCTGAAGAGCTTGACGAGGAACCTCACGGTTGGAAAAAATTAACTCTTCGCAATTGGACATGCCGACAATTCCGCCGAAAAGGCATAAAACCACGTCTTAGCTTCTGTACCATTTCATTCATGACATTGGCACAGAATAGCCCAACTGCCATTTCTACAGAATCTTCACCCTCCCAAATACAACAATTCTTTGAACTGCAAAGCAAATTCAAATGCGTCAAGTATCCACATCCACAAGACATACACAACCATTCATTTGGAATCAGTTGAAGTTTGGGTTCCTTTTAAATAGGTTGTACACGGTTGTACCAATGATGCTAGAAGGGCGGAAAAAAAGGCCAATCCAACAGGGCCAAGAACATCGCTGATGGCTAGCTGGCTCAGTCGTCCCTGGGACTGGCAGTCCAAACGACTCTGGGTGATCCTACTGGCTGGCTCCATGCTTGCTCCTCCTTTGCTTGGCTTGAGCCATAACAGCCATAGGTTGCACAGTAGATTGAGTGCAGTGTAGTCGGCCTGAGTGCGAGTGTCGAGAGGAATGTGGATGGAGCGGGCAGCCGAAAGTTTATTTTTTTATAGTGCTGCAGCAGAAGGATTTGGGAGTTGGTGCTGCGTGGATTATGGCTACGATGTTCTTTATTTGGACCACCCTGAAAAGAACCGTTCACAGCAGCACACAGGTCTTGTCAGCGACTCCAAAGCAAAAGTTTATGGTTTTGCTTTTGGGTTCTGCAGCCCTCCTTGTTTCCCTCAAAATCATCAGCTGCACAAATACAATGACATTCCTTCCCACATCTTCGAGCAGGCACCGCTGTCAGCACAATTTTGTTTCCTCCCGTGCGCAACACGCCAAGCAGGTTTGATCACACAGATGGTATGGTCTGGATCTTTTCAATGCAGGACATTCAGACAATCTGACAATCTTGCCCTGAAAGAGGGCTTTCACTCACAGCATCCAACAAATCCTAAACACAAGGCTCAAACAGAAGTTTCTACTGACAAAACCACCATACTTATGCGATGGATAAATAAACCTGGCCCATCACAATCAGGCTAGACTAGCTAGAATAGCTATACCATCTGCGCTTGGCCAAACGCCTTTGAAATCAGCACGCAGGGACCTTCCCCAAGCAGGCAATCAGCGCCCTCCGTGCCACCGGCTGCCAAACCTTAGCCTCATCTACTCCCTGAATGAAGTGTCTCCATTAGGTTGATGAGTTTGTTCCAGTGACTAGTGATATCTACTTAACAGTCCGTGGCTCCACATCAATGTACTGCTTCATCGGGAGTTGGGCCCTCAAAAATGTGCAGAACGCATCTGCTCAGCGTAGACCGGAAGCGCCTGCAGCGCCTGCAGGCACTGAAGAGCCATTACACAGAACGCTTGGACCGCAATCTCAGACTTGCCATGACTTGCCGATCAGCCAAACCATGCCAAACCTCTATCTACAGTACTATCAGTACTGGCAGTATCCCATGAGCCCTGGCCTGTGGCTGGACGAACCAGGCCCTGAGGCTCAAAGCTTTGCACTTGGCATCATCTCCACCTCCCGTGCTCAAATAGTTTGGGGACGGTTGGGTGGACATGGAGTGGACTATCGGATCCAGCCGGGTGATGTTGTCCAACAATCTCAGAACACAAAAAGGAATTCTTCCTAGAATCAACAAATAATTTTCTGAATGCTAAATGGTTTACAAGCATGAATGGATTGTTACCGCAAAACACAAAACACAGACGAAGCACGGACCCGCAAACTCGGCCTGATGAATTTGAACAAGACTCATTGAATTTTGTGACACCGCGGCATTTGCTGATTCTTCATGCCAAGACGCAATGGTGGCGTTCGCAGTGCCACCACCCTCGCAAATTGCTAGAAGCCCATAGCGCTTCTGGCACGCGAGTCAAAACCGCTTCTGGGGGCACTCCAAATCCCAAACGCGATGCGATTCCCGACAGTGCAAGAAAATTGTCTGGTGAGATTTGTTGAAGTCTTCCAGCCGGCCTTGGCTCAGCTCACTGTTTTGAGATAGTCGTCGACCCTCAATCCATAGAGTGTAGTTCCGTTTCCAGCTATCGGATTCTAAGTATCGAATCGAAATTCTTTGTTTATGACTGTCGGAACCGTCCCACCTTGCCCAATATGTGTCTGTGCATGCTTGTGTTTGGGCCTTCTGTCGCTTGAGCTCATGCACAAGTGTGGCCATAAGCTTGACGCCGGTGCCTGAGTGGCCCAGTCGCTGAATATCGTGCTGCATTTGTTTGGAGTCAATTCCCCACATTTTCTTTTTTAAAAGGCTTTTAACTTTTAACTAATTAAAGGCGTCCTTTTCAGAAATCGAGATCTTCTGTGACTTTATGATTTCTGTCCTTCTGCCGTGATTGCGGGGCCGGTCATCTTAAACTCTCCTGTGCATTGAAAGGCACTGGCCCGGCTACTTTGTGATAGTTTCCGTAGTTTCCGTAGTTTCCCAACTTTTGTTTTTTCTTCGTTCTCAAAAAGTCCTGTAGGTAAAACAGGCGGAGGGCAGATGCAATGACTTTGCATTCCCTCGCCCCACCTCCAAGTGGGTGGCCGAGTGCCATGGCACCACCGTTCACCTTGGTCGGTCACGATTGTATCTGAAAATATCTAAAATGTGTACTTTTGTCTTTTACTGAAAAAGAAATATCGATTTCTTAATGTCTTTTATGGTCTTTTATGGTCTTTTGCTATCTCGGCCCCTCAGATTCTACCTGCTGAAGCCGAGTGGCGTTCATTTTCTCAATATCTGCTCCTAAGGCCTTCAGAAAGGCGGCTGCATGATGTGCCACAACTAGACAGCTATGAAACCTTGCAAATCGGTGTAAGTTCACTTGCAGGTGGGGAGCCAACACAACCCACATCCGAATCCATTCCAGCGCCTTCTGCCAAGCCAAGGGCACGGAGCCAAAAGCTTCATTTATCTGGCGACGGAGATGGAGAAAAGGAGGCACCCCAGTAACTGCACCGCCACAGGTTGCCACAGGTTGCCTCGTAGAGGTCAATGTCCTCGATCTTCATCTTCACCTTCAGAGATCTTCAGAGATCTTCAGAGAGTTCAAACACCTCCCTCTTGACCACGGCATCGGGCAGAGATTTCTCGGTGGAACGTGTAGAAGGTGTAATAACATGTAATAACAAGCCCTACGACTCTGATACAAAAGATTGGCAAGTACGTTGCCACGTTCAAAAAATATTGCTGGACAAATTATCAAGCCCGGAAACGAGTCCAGACACTTCGTACTGCCTGCACCCTGTATGTGGTACCGACGGCATGGCAAATGGACCTTGTCCAAGGCTGTCCGTGTTGCGGGGACAGGCCTCAGGTGGATAGTAAGAGTCAGTAAGTCACGCGCGTGAAATGCTCCTTGGAGGTCAGTGTGTAGGTCAACTCAGGGGTATCAACTTAAGTTGGTCGAGCATGCCTTGCTTTCCAGCTGCCAGTTTTGGAGCTGATAAGTTCCGAGTTGAATCAGACTGCTTTGAGTAAATGTGTTCAGTCCAGAAGTGCTCCAGGAATTTGCCAAATACCCAAGGCCCAAAGGCTCAAAAAAAAACGGGCTCTTTGGCAATCTTCAGGGGTGTTTTCTCATCCACTGACTCCGCCCAGCAGGTTTCAAATATGTTCAAACTGCAAGTGGCTGGTCTAAGTAAGAAACCCTTCCAGCATCACCACAGGGTCGGTAGCAGCCTCGTCACCAAACACTGCAATGCTGAGCCAGGAGTCCGGCATAGTCCGGCCATCAGAGTAGATTTGCATGAGAAAGGGACACCATGTCACTAACGACCATCAACATACAAAGCTCGATGACTCCATAAGTAGGAATGCAGCAAATGACATTATGACATCGGCTTACTTGGCGCTGCATGGGTACAAGCTGGTTTGTGATCAGTGGCATGCAGTCTGTGAAAATACCTCTGGCACCAATGCACTGAGGACAGGACAAGGGCCAAAGAATGAATCCTGCTGAGTTAAGAATCAAAGCACGGTGTGCCAAACATATATGATCAGTGTATGTTGCAAAGACAGGATATTTTGGTCTTTGCAAATCCAGTCCTACATAAACAGCACTATCTACCCAGTTGAACACTCTTGTACAGCTGCACATGTTGCGATTCTGAAAAAGGGGAAGTTCTCCCGTTCTCCCACCACGAACTATTCTTGAAGCCGTGCTGACTCCTGGCCATTGGCTTGAGGCCCAGCTTCTGCAATCCTCGCCTCAAAGCAGAATTCAGATATCGCGATTCCATGACTGGGGTAAGGATGGGTAAGGTACCAGAGTCGAGATATGTCGAGATAGAATCCATACAACTTGAGTGCGACGAATCTGTCGGCGACTATGATATGGGCCTGCAGCTTCTGGAATCTATCCACCGTCAGTTCAAAGTTCAAAGGTAGTTTTGCGATACCTCACGATTCCTTCTGCATATGATTACAGTACTCTTCGGACGCTCAATACGATTTGGAGCAGCGCAGGATGGTGATGAATAAATCATTTGCGCAATTGCACTGCTTACTCGGGTTTGGTGCAAAACATGAAAGCTCCTGACATTTATGCGGCCTTTCTGGGGCTTTTTGGCTTGGGTTCAATGGCAAGGCCCGGGCTCGTTGCAAATCAGCATGGCTGAAGCTCCATCGCCTATACGCTATGTCAAGCAAAATTTTGAGCTCCAAGTTGGCTCCAAGGAAAGGAAGTGAGGTTGAGGTGTTTTGGGTTGTCCTCACATCAGCGTTGAGCTATCTTAGCCGCCATGACAGCAGATCTTTCAGGAATGCAACCTATACTTCTCAGCCACGCTTAAGCGTCCCCACAGATTTGCGATGAGCTTCCCGGAGTGAGAACGCCATTTGGGAAAAAGGCCTGGAGGAGGGGTAGGGACAGGCACAAAGAAAAGGAGCAGAAGAACTGTCAGAAGACACTTCCAAAGTTCCAGGTCCTTTGACCACCCTATTGATGGAAACACATGGCCACTGCAAGTGATGAGGGCGATGATGATACTGATTCTGTCGAAGGACAGATCCGTTCATCTCATCAAACCTTTCACACGAGTTGAACATGCCCTCAAAGGCCCAAAGGCCTAAAGGCCTAAAGGACAGGCCACATGTCCAGCGCAACAGGCCTTCAGCTTGCCCAAGCTCTCAAGAGTGACATTGGGACGGATTCCCTCATCCTTGCGGAGTTGGCCAATTCAGAGATTTCAGAGATTCTCGAACTACGTCCACGGGAAAGACGAAGAGACCAAGTCAATATTTGTCAATTTCATGGCTATCTCTGTCATGTCATGTCATCGAGTTTATCCAACAAATCTGGCAACTCTTCTCCTCCGAATGAATGCCCTCCGAGGGCCCTTCCTTGCCTCAGTAAACAGAAGCATGGACTCAGTACCAGTTTCTGCTTGCAAGAAATGCTGCCACCAAGAAAAAAAATCCGAGGCCTGAAGATGGGAATCATTGGCAGGCTGAGTATCTCAAAAAACTATTCATATGAAATTCATATACTAGTTTCTTACATGTTTCTTCTCACTCAAATAATGTGGGACGAGTAAAATGTACCAAAGGTGAAACATCTTCTGGAATGATATGCACAAATCATCCTCAGTCCCATCCGAAAAATAATTCATGCTTCAAATGGTGGCTTCTTAAGAATTAAGCTCCACAGGTTCGGAGGGTCCTCAAATGTGAGAGAGACCGATGTCTCCCAAGTGTGAGTAGTAATCCGCCACAGCATGAGTCGTACATTCCGGGTTCCCCCTCGCTTCACTGGCAATGGCACAATCTCATCCTTGAACTTCCCTGCCTCTGCTGACGCAAATGAATCTGTACTAGATCTCCAAGTTGAGAATATCATATCTGTGGAATCATGCGGTGGAATCTACTCAGAGACGACAAGTCAAACTGACTGGAATTGAAAGAGCTCTGACTCTGGTCCACCTTCTTCCCAATCTAAGATGTCTTCACCCCTCTAGAACCATGCTAGGTGCTAGCTGTGCAAGCCATGCTACACATGACACCAGCCAACCCTGTCAGCAAATTGTCAGCAACCCCTCACCTTGGTGGACTCCACTGCTCTTTGTTGAGAGATGGCAGCAAAACGGTCAACATCCTAGCGCCAAGAGAGTCCCTGATGTGTTGCGATCCGGAACGAGGTAGAGACCCGTGGAAGTGAGTCTTATCATCTCATCTCGATGCTGGGAACATTGTATAGTCGCCCACAGACCCCGAAGCCATTAACCAAACGGGTTCCTTTGATTGTGATTGCATCAACCGGGCTCTGTCAGGTGACTTTTGGTGAGCTGACGAAAGTATGAAAGTTGCTCGTATGCACGGGTAAAAGATGTAAAAGGTAAAGTCCAAGTTAGGAATGTCCATCTCGAATTCCGTACTGAGTTGTTGGTCGCCTCGCGACTGAGGTTGTACTTCTTGGCCAAAAGCTCCGCTCCTCCAAACTGAGAGAATGCCTCGAAGGAACCACATTACCGGTGGATCTGCTGTGGAATGACAGGAGAACAACATGACCAAAACAACAAAAAAAAAATGCTGAATTGGGATCCATCTTTCAGCGATCCACTCATGTCTGCATGACAGCTGCTCAATCGAAAGCAGACACTGCGTGCAAATCAAGGCGTGCTGAGTCCCACGCATTACTGGAGATGCCAAATTGCTCAAAAGCCTGTGCCAGGAGATGGTTGCAGTCACGAGCCTCAAACCCAAAAATCAAAGCTACACACAGCAACATTTACTCAGCAATCACGGTTCCGCAAGTACAGAGCATTGCACAGTTTTGGATTTTTTTCCGGAATCACACGACATATATAAAACCGCTTAGACTAATCTCAAGTGCTGCTGCTCTCTACAAGTAAACAAACCACCCAGTCTTCAAGCATGGTGCTGCCAGTGCTTGCAGCGAATCCGTAAAAGCTTACGCAAATTGGCGTAGTAAAAGCACACCAGCAAGCCTTCATTTTGTCCTTGTACTTCTCAGTCATGATTTCGGTCATAGGAAATCCATGACCGGCCTGCGCACTTGCCCAGAGCGAACTCAAAGAGTCCATGCGCAATATGAACAAGGGCATGAACAAGTCATCGAGACAACCAGCCTTCATTCCATCGAGGATGTTAGAAAGAAGTGGGACTGTGGACCTCAGGAGCTAGAGAGGGGGAAACTAAAACCATCCCCCAAGTCCAACCGCCACGTTCGCCACGTTTAGTTCATGAGTCATTCATGAGTCATTCATGAGTCATTCATGAGTCATTCATGAGTCATTCATGAGTCATTCATGAGTCATTCATGAGTCATTCATGAGTCATTCATGAGCATTTTGAAAAGGGACTGGAGAATGATCTCGACTGCGACACTTCTTTGACAGCACTCCACATGTGACCACCATGTTTCTTCAATCCTTGAGGGAAGCTTACACCCTCACAGGTTCCAAGCTTCAATTTGCAGCCTGTGCTTAATTTCATGATTTCCAAAGTACCGCAAATCAGTGTTTTTGCCTTTTGGTGGCTCACAAACACAGCTGTACTTCATACTTTACTTTTCCATACTTTTCCAACCCCGCACGTCAGGTAAGTAAATAGTAGCTGCCACCTTCACTAGGTTCCCCAACATCACTTCAACACCTCCAGCAATGCCTCAGCGCGAATGATCGTATGATGGGCATGAATCAAAATGCCCGAAGTTCTGGGGAGTCTCTTTGCAAATCACACGCACATCAATGATATATATATATATATATATTACTATAAATATATATATATATGTAATATATATAATATATATCTATCATGCATATTTTGTATATATGATATATTACACATATTGTATATAATATAATATACTATATATATGTACTATAATACAATACGAACCATATAAAATAATATAATATAATAAAATATAATATAATCATATATACTAATATAATATATAATTAAAAAAATGTAATGTAATATCATATAATATAGTATAATATAATATAATATACATATATATTTATATAGAATTATGTATATTACATATCATGTATATATACATCATATCATGTAGTGTACTACAAATTATGTATATTATGTAAATAATATTTATATATATATATATATATATACGCGCAACGCCGTATATATCATATATAATATATATGGTATTAAACAAAAATATATCCATTATTGATATTATAGATATTATATAGATAATATGTATATATATATCAATATTATACATGATATATTTTGCTATATTATAAATATCAAATTATATTGTATTATAATAAATTATACTATATATACTTTATATATTATTAGATATTTTATATATTAGATTATATATTATTGTATATATTGTACTAAATATAATATAATGTGATATAACATAATAAAACATAATATAATATAATATAATATGGTATGATATAGTATAAAAAAAATACAGTATATATAATATAAAAATATAATATGTAATTTAATTTTTAATATAATAGATATATATATATATATGATATATATAATATATATAATAAATAAATAATAAATAATATATAATATATATAATATATAATATAGAATATATATATATATTATATATATAATTCATATAATCTATATATATAATATATATAGTATATATAGTATATATATATATAATATATAATATATATAATATATATATAATATATATAATATATATAATATATAATATATAATATATACAATATATATATAATATATATAATATAAATTTTATAAATATATGTATAATTTATATAATATATTATATAATATATATATATAATATATATGATATATATATATAATATATATAATATATAGAATATATATAATATATATAATATATAATATATATATATATATAATATATAGAATATATAATATATATAATATATATATAATATATATATAATATATATAATATAATATATATATAATATAAATATATATATATAATATAAAATATATAATATATATATAATATAGGGCTAGGCTTCAAAACGCACTGGAGTAGGCTCCCTTTGGACATGTTTTCTACAGGGCTCTTTTTTGACATGGCAGCGCTTGCCTGTGGCTGCCTTAGGCTTCTCTTTGGCATGTTTACCTAAACGATGCCACAACACACCTGCTCGCTTCAAGCTGTCCCCGTGGGGCATGTTTACCTAAACAGTGCCACGAGGCACCTGCTCGCTTCAAGCTGTCCCCACGGGGCTTCTTTTAGACCTTGCCGGTAGCTCCCTGGGGCTTCTCTTTGGCATGTTTACCTAAACAGTGCCACGAGGCACCTGCTCGCTTCAAGCTGTCCGCGTGGGGCTTCTTTTAGACCTTGCCGGTAGCTCCCTGGGGCTTCTCTTTGGCATGTTTACCTAAACAATGCCACGAGGCACCTGCTCGCTTCAAGCTGTCCCCACGGGGCTTCTTTTAGACCTTGGTGGCTGCCTTAGGCTTCTCTTTGGCATGTTTACCTAAATAACGATGCCACAACACACCTGCTCGCTTCAAGCTGTCCGCGTGGGGCTTCTTTTGGACCTTGCCGGTATAGCTCCCTGGGGCTTCGCTTTGGCATGTTTACCTAAGCATTTCCATTTTCTTCCCTTACCCTACCAGGGCTTATTTCACAACAAAATTCTTTGTGTTTTTGCCCACCCCGTTTCCTTCCTCCGTACATATGTGATGAACCACCTGAACTCAATCCCGCCTGCTTCTCAGCGCCAATCACATCTTGCCCTCTCCGCCCGGTGCTTGAGCCTCTGCAACGCCTGCTGTCAAGCAGATTATACACTTTCGTCCCTTGTGCAATCCTGAAGCAAAAGATACTTGTCAAGGCCTCGCTCTTTAGCCTAGCATCCGCTGCGACATGAGGATAAGCTTCGCCATCATGCTGAACAAGACGGAAGTCATCTGAGGCTATGGGGACCACAGGCACTTGGTCTGGTTCGCAAGGCGTCTCGGCCGGAATGGTTGCCACGGCGCAGTCGTGACATAGGTGCCAAACGCACAGCCCAATTCGCAACGCCAAATGGGCGCATCCTTCACGATGCTGGTCCCACATTGACAGCACTCTAGCTCCGCAAGCTTGCTGCGGGCACGCTTCAGCCCCGAAAGCATTCCAGCTTGGTCTTGGATATGGCGGCCTCTGTGTGGTGCGATGCACACGCGTAGGAACCCCGAAGATGGGGCGCCACGCAACCATAGTCCAAAAGTACATCCCCACGTACCATATGAAGGAAGTGTGTGGCCGTTTTTCTGCATGCACACAGGCACTGCTCTGTTGACCTTCCCGTCAAAGGCAAGAAGCGGGAAGCGAGCACACGTAACGCAGCCATGGTCCTGCGCAAAATCCTGCAAGAATCTGCGTTGGAGCGGAAGATACAATGCACCCAACGTTTCACAGCGGAGATCCACATTGCGTCTCTGAAAGCAAAAAGGGATGCTACGCAACTCTTCCCAATGCAACTCTTGCAGTTGTAGGACAGCCGTGTACACAAGCCAGGCGTGAAGAAGCTTGTCGTGCAAATGCTCGATGTGTGGCATGCTGTGAAAATCCTCCATGAGGGCAGCAAAGCCACGGAACGAGCTGCGAACGTCTGCTCGAAGCAGCTACTGTCGTTTTTGCTTCGGGTGCGTTTCATGCGTGCCGCCGCTTCTTGGCTTCCTTCGTCGCTCCTCGGCCGGAAGCACTGACTGACAGCCTGGCAACGTTTTCTGCCAGGCTTCGCCTTGCTAGGAACCGCCGCCAGGTCGATCTCTCCCTGCAATGCAGCTATGTACCAGATGTGCGCACAATTGCCTCTTTGGGCGAAGTTCGCGCATGTGCAGATCTTTCTGCCACCGTTCGGCCCGCGAGCATAGCATCTCCGGAAGTAGGTGCTTGGCAGCTGGCCCTGAATGACGACACAATGGTAGTGGAAGAGCAATTCCAAATTTGTGGTGCTGAGCTTGTTTGTCTGCAAGACCTGTCCGTTTTGCAAGGCCGTTTGCAAATCCGTGCCACCAAGCAAAAGCAGATGGACCATCTCTTCTGCCAGTGGAATGGAAACTATGGCATTTGCAGCTGTGACAGTGTCCGTCGCTTGGGCACGCATCACCCAAAAGTGTGTCTGCGTGCTCTTTGATTCCACGTGGTGGACATTACCCTTGTTCCTGGCGGTGTAATATTCCACAGCTGAATTTTGTCCCAGGCGGTGCAAAGCATCTCCAGTCAGGTAGATGTTGTCTGGCCCAAATACAGGGTGCCATAGAGAAGCCCGCCACCATGTCGAAGGAAACCCTTGCATGAAGGCGATCTTCTACCAACCAGAAACCCTTCACCCAGCAAAACCTACCATTCGGGATCCCACCAAGACCACCCCAGCATGTCACTCACACGCCCCTGCCCAACCCATGCATACCAGAAAGCCAGTGTCAAACAAACCCTGCCATAGAGAAACCCGCCCCCGTGTCGAAAGAAACCCGTCCATGAAGATGATCCCCTGCCAACTAGAAACCCTCCACCCAGCAATCCCTGCCATTCGGGAGCCCACCAAGACCCCCCCCCAGCATGTCACCCACCTAAGCAAACCCTGCACTCCAGCAGCCCGCAGAAACCCGCCACCATGTCGAAAGAAAGCCTTCCATGAAGATGATCCCCTGGCGAAACCCCTCCACCCAGCAAAACCTACCATTCGGGAGCCCACCAAGACCCCCCCCCGCAGCACGTCGCCCACCTACGCAAACCCTGCACTCCAGAAGCCCGCAGAAACCCGCCACCATGGCGAAAGAAACCCTTCCATCAAGATGATCCCCTGGCAACCAGAAACCCTTCACCCAGCAATACCTGCCGTTCGGGAGCCCACCAAGACCCCCCCAGCATGTCACCCACCTACGCAAACCCTGCACTCCAGAAGCCCGCAGAAACCCGCCACCATGTCGAAAGAAACCCTTCCATGACGATAATGCCCTGCCAACAAGAAACCCTTCACCCAGCAACACCTGCCATTCGGGAGCCCACCAAGACCCCCCCCAACATGTCACCCACATGCGCAAACCCTGCACTCCAGAAGCCCGCCTGTGCCCAACCCATGCCTACCAGAAGCCCTGTCCCAAATACAGGGTGCCATAGAGAAGCCCGCCACCATGTCGAAGGAAACCCTTGCATGAAGGCAACCCTTGCATGAAGGCGATCTTCTGCCAACCAGAAACCCTTGACCCAGCAAAACCTGCTATTCGGGAGCCCACATGCGCAAACCCTTCGCTCCAGAAGCCCGCCCGTGCCCAACCCATGCCTACCAGAAGCCCTGGGCCAAACACAGGGTGCCATATACAAACCTGCCTACCTGCCCTTCAGGAACCCAACAGAACCCCGCTCCAGCACGTGACCCCTGCCCGCCCATGCCAACCAGAAGCCCCTCACCCAGCAATACCTGCCATTCAGAGCCCCATACTCTCCCCCACACCTCAAGTTTCTCATTCAGGAGCCCATACTCCCCCCACCCCGCCACACCTGAGGCTTCTCATGCTACCCAACCATGTCGACCTGAAGCCTTCAGCTATAGAGACCGTACTAACCCAACTGCCCTTTCCAAACCATGCCGAAACAGATCCATTCCTGGCAAAACCTGTTTGGCGCCTGCAGGGCTTTCTTCGAAACAGGTCAAAAAAACAACCAGGTCAAAGAAAAAGTCCATATATATATTATAATATATATATATATAATATATATAATATATAATATACAATATAATATATATATAATATATACATTATATATATAAATATAATATATATAATATATATATATATATATATATATCATATATATCATATATATCATATATATCATATATATCATATATATCATAAAATATATATAGTATATACAATATATATAATATATATTTTATATATAATATATATAATATATATAATATATATAATATATACAATATATATAATATATACAATATATATAATATACAATATATATAAATATATACAATATATATAAATATATACAATATATATAATATAATATATATATATATATATATATATTTATATATATAATGTAATATATATATAGTATACTTAATATATATATATATGATATATATATATAGTATATAATATATATATATAATATATATAATATATATAATATATATAATATATATAATATATATAATATATATAATATATATAATATATATAATATATATCTGATATATATAATATAATATATATATAATAAATATAATATATATAATTTATATATTTATATATGATATATGTAATATAAATATATATATATATGTTTCTGCGTTGATGAGATCCCCTTTCGCCACTCTTCCTGCACTCCCATTTTTTGCTCTTGCAAGAGGGGTCGATAGAGGTTGGTGAGTGCACGCATCCATGCGTGCTGCAAACGTCTTTCAAGGTGCCAGCCAGGGTATCAAAACCATGGATGGTCATCCAAAAAACATAGTCTGTCCATGCAAAAACAATAGTCTGTCCACTAGGTGGTGGTTGGGGTTGGTGGAGGCCCCTTGAACCTCATGGCCACATCGAAACATCCAGTATATGTTTCTGCGTTGATGAGATCCCCTTTCGCCACTCTTCCTGCACTCCCATTTTTTGCTCTTGCAAGAGGGGTCGATAGAGGTTGGTGAGTGCACGCATCCATGCGTGCTGCAAACGTCTTTCAAGGTGCCAGCCAGGGTATCAAAACCATGGATGGTCATCCAAAAAACATAGTCTGTCCAACTCCACCCACTGGAAGGTGGAGGGGTGGTGGTGGAGAAAACATCAACCACGCAGGCGTTGTCAGTCCACTGTGGGAATATGCATCATGCGTTGGCGATTGCCAATGTAGGTGGCAATGGAGGATATGACTGCACCAGTGATTGCTGATAAAAGGTGGGAAATAAATTGGATGGGAGCAGTTGTAAATTGCTCCAAATCCAGCGCATGCGGCAAGGCTTGTCGCATGGTGTATTCAATCTGGTAGACGATTTCATCCAACAAACTTTCTAAAATCAGCAGTAAAAATCCAGTGAGTCTCCGTAAAGCCAGTCGCAGGATACGTACGAAAACCTTTGTACAAGCCGTGGCCAGCGTAGGTTTCAGTAAAAACATCAGCGCTACACAAATGACAACAATCAAAACTGCTCTGTTCAGCGTCAGTGTGCGAAACATCTCCCAGAGAAAAGATTTGATGGTCCAGGGTTTTTTCTCTTCAGGTGAAGAAACGGTTCCATCCCGCAGCATGAGTGGTTTGCAGGGTAAAGGATCGGCTCCTCCATCAAGTTCTCTGGCAGCTACCACAGCTTTAGCATACTTTTGCAGTTTTGGGTCACCTGGATATCTCTTTGAAGCTCTCACCAACTGGTCATGTGACAGGTCCTCAAAGGTGGATCCTTTAAAGGCCCCTCCAGCTATTACACGGCGACCGTGTCTAGCCCTCATAGAATGCATATCTGGCGCACCAGTCAGCAATAAACGAGCTTGAAGCACTTTCTGACACCTCAAACAGTCGCAGGTTTGCGACAAAGTCTTCAGGCACGACAAACTCCAAGCAAAGCGGGGCTATTCTTTTCAGCCGAGATATCACTGAAGACGAAAGCCTATTCATGATCTGTGTTGACATGGCCAGCTGAATGTAATGCTCCAGGGATTTTTCTACAGTCCACCTGCCCATAAACCTAAGAGTACTAATGGGAATTCCCTTTCCATAATACATGGTGGCTCCCCCTGGCCTGAGACTGGCCGGGGTGAAGTGGCAGTCCAAGATGCGCAGTTCTTTGCATATCTGTTTGAACATCCTGCTGAAGAGAGCACGACCTCCTTTCCACAGAGCGCAGTCATTTCGCTCCTCAACCACTTCTCGCAATCTCTGGACTGTACAAGGGTTCCTAACCAGCACAAACTGATCTACACCAAACTGCCTTCGGTTCTTAGGGTTGGCCACCCGAATAGCAGCAAAAGGTTGACTGAAGGTGAAGCTCCCTGGCAGGGAAATGTCCGTATGTTTCAACTTCAGCAACTCACCCGGCCTCAGCATGCAGAGAACCCCTATCTCCAGCAAGGTGGCAAAAACTCGCCATCTTTTCTGTTCCAGCATCGATTCATTCACAGAAGAGTGAGCTCTGGACAAGCCTATCATCAAAAGCCACAAGGGAATAGGTAAGGGTGGACGAAGAGAGCTCGTTCTCTGCTCCTCCCAGACTCGAAGGTTTTCCCAAGCTGTGTTGATCCTGCCCTTCAGTTTGGGCTGCACATGTTGACAGCAGAGTAAAGCATGCTTCACCACATACAGCTGCTTCGGCTTCAAACTGCTGTGACGTTGCATGACGTATAGTGAAAGCACTTCATCAGCGCTATTCAAATTTCCCAGCAGAGCGGCCAGTGAACAAGGACCCTGTTCGCGACAGAAACCATCCAAATCTTGTAGTCCCGCCAAAAGCCGCTGGCGGTAAGGCTTCGAAAACCTACTGAGTCTGAAAGCAGCTGAAGACGTCTCAATCCGCCGCCTCATGTGCAAAAATTGGGCAGCACAGCAACGTAAAAAAACTACATGCATGGCGAGCGAACTCAAACTAATTAAGATGCATGGTCATGCAAGAAACCCTAGAAGTGACTCAGTCTTTTCTGTTGGTGTGCAACGGCAAAATGCGGTTGGCTATGGTGGCATACTTGTGACATAAGGCCAGTGGGTAATGGCCAGCCAGTTCTGATCTACGTTTCCATCCATGTGGTGTACGAACCCCTCCTACTGCGTGTACATGTCTCGAGCGGCAATGGCAGAGTCTCGACAAGTCACGGAGACCTGGAAGATTACCTGCACATCTGGTATGTTTTCTGCAGGGGCCTAGCAGCCCTTCATCATCTTTTAGTTTGAGGCCATATGCACATTGATGCATGAGTGCCTGTTCACAGGAGGGCTATCCAGCTTATTTATTACTGATGGCATGGACCACCTGCCCTTTCAAGTGTTTCTATCAAAACCATAGTACGTCTAAGCAGCTCATTTCCTAGTATCTCACGTGGCAAGAACCATCACCTTGAGGCATGTCTTTACGGCGGGTACCCCCATTGGAATGTTGGAGGATCGAAAACGAACAGCACGGAAGACCGAAGTGCCAGGTTTGTCTAGGCTGGGCAGCGTCCAACACAAGTTGCATCCATAATATCAAAAGACATGTTGACATGTGAGTTAGGTCTTAGTTCAACAGGAGGTCCAGTCTCAAACCTTTTTGTTCTTTTAAACAACTCGGTTAATCTAGCTTTTCCCGCAAAGATCTCCCTAAATGTCCAAGGAGGTGTTGGCTCGTTCTCAGGCTGGCCATTGCCGCGGCTTGCATTTTCATCCGCAGTGTGTGTGTCAATAGCCTGGGTTGGCTGAGGCAAAGTGGAAAAAGAGCTCTCCCATGGTGGGTCTCCTCCAAGTTTTCGAGCCTCCTGCTCTAGAAGCACTTGATGGCCCGGCGACCTCTCAGTCTGAATCCTTCTCAAAGTTACCGCATCAAGCAATCCATCAGACTGGGAAACGTCAGGTGCAGGAATGGGCTTAAACCTTGATGGATAGTCGGCTGGATTGCTGTGAGTGTCCACCCATAAATTGGATACCTGGAGGTCGCCAGTCAAAAGCCAAGGGAGGCAGCTACGCAAGCCATGATTCATATTTTTGGAGCTACTACGCCCTTTAGCAAAGGCTCCAACAACAACACGGCTATCACAGAGGTTCACCACGCGACAGGCGGCATTGCCTGAATTGACCCTATCTCTAATTTCAGCCTTGAGCATCTCCAGCTCTAGCAGATTAATATGATCCTTTTTGGCAAACCGCCGGGATTCAGTGGCAACCCATCTGTGCTTTTGCAAACTACTAACCCACGACTCCGGCGCTGGTCGCATGGTGGTTTCTGGTGGGAGTGGCATGTCTTCCCAATCTAAACGAGTGTGCTCTCCACGAGCTTCACAAAACCTGTAGAGCATTTTTGAAGACACTTTCGTGGTTAAAGTAGACGCTCTACCACCCCCACTCAAACTGGCATCCGTGGCAGAGATGCGTGTAGACACAGGGAGTCTAATATTTGCCGACGCAAGGGGAAGCAACAAGACAGCTGTGAGAAGCTCATCGCAAATATATTGGGGGATTTTTTGGGAAACACCCTCTGGTAAGTTGTCAATGAATAAGTATGTATGGTGAAAGATACTCATGCATTCACGCCTATGCATAAAGGGGTGAACATAAAGTCCCAAAAGTTTTTGCAGGGCTTTTTTACTGGCATGTTTTTGTCTGAGCTTTTGCAACGGTGTGCCCACTCTGCCTGAACTTGAGTCTACTTGTGTTCCCCAAGCCTTGAAACAATACTCCTTGTCAAACGCTTTTTTAATGGACCGTGGTAGTCCAAGCTCTGCATATCGCTTGCGCGATCCCTGCACCAAAGACTCATCTTCGTACGTCGTACGGGGTTCTGTCCCGAATAGGCTTTTTATCCACTATTTGGAAAACCAGGTGATCGTCAATATACAGTCCTTCCAAGGTGTTAGATGGGGGGAACAAATGGCCATAGATTAGAGTTTTATCCGGTTGGAGGCATCCCGCTGCTTTCAAAACTCCTTCGTGGGTTGCTTGGGCAATATCCACACCATTAGTGTCTCCCATACAAGTTTGTTTTGCGTCCCCCACAAGGCAGAATCTGACCGTCTGATCAATGACAGGCGACCATTGAACCTAAGAGAGCGTAGGCTTGGATGGTGTGAGTTGCCTAGTGGAGTGATGCTTTGCCAGCTAATTTTGGAGGACCATCAGAGCATCAGGGCTTCGGGTGATGACTTGTCCAACTATTTTTACCTTTATCAAGCACTTGGACGAATGGTTACCTCGAAATTGTTTTGGTCGTGCTATCAAAGGTGCTAAGCTAGTTGATCTGGGCCTGGACCCAAAAGTCAAGTATTACCCTGCATTCAAAGTCGTCACCTTTTATGACATGTCCATTTTCATACAGAGCATCATGTTCCGGGACAAAGCCGATCATTCCGGACTTGTGCAGTTTGCGCAACAAATTTGGCCAGTCTTTCGGATCTACTTTGTGGCATGCACGGCAGTCGCCCGGCGGTGTACCTGGAATTGGCACCAGGTCTGGCATGGATTCAAATTCCTTGGCACGCTTGGGAGACAGGTGCATCCTGGGGTCTAGGATTCCTGCTACGTCTGGAACAGAGACCCTATCTGGCTTCACTGGCAAGGCACCACACATAGCTTCATCTAGATTCACTTCAGGGTTATACTGTGAAAAACGAATTCTACTGATTAATTCATCAAGTTTGGCCGAACCCCTATCCAAGGTCCCCCTAGGCTGGGTTACGAAACAACAAACCTTTTTAAACATTGTTCTAGCATAGCTTTCGTGGAGGGCAGTCCACACCCCTAGCGATGCACGAGAAACGGCTGCGCTTGCTGCATTCTTACGGCAAGGAGAACCTGCTTCAAGAAAATTGAACAAGCACCAAAGTAAGCGCATCCATTCCAGAGCCTCCCACTTGTCGGCAGATTGGAGGCCTCGCCCATGCTTAGACTTACCCGGGGGGTTCTTCCATGCTAGCATAGACGGGAACAATGTGGTGGTCCCAGTCGGTTCACTGGGTGTACATACCCCTGTCTCAACAGACCTATAGATCCTAGCAAATCTGGCAAAGGACCCATGACCATTCTTAATTAAATCAAAAAGGAGGCTCCTATCTGCTGACACTCCCGCTTCTGGGGAGTGAGGAACCTTGGCACAAGGAGGTTCTGCGGCGGCGGTCTCAGCAACTCTCACATGGTGGTCTCCTCCGCCTGCTTCTTCGGGTTCTGTTTTCCCTTTTTTCCTTTTCCTCCGCCTTCTTCTTGATCGCCTTTCCCGAGGCCCTTTGCCCTCTTTTCCAGCTTCTGCAACGCATTGAGATATCCAGCAACTCTCTCCAGGTCCTGCGGCTCCCCCCCAAACTTCGGTGTCTCGATGGGGTCCGCATACCTCAGAAGCAGCCAGCTCGCTCTCCAAGATCCACGATCCAGGTTGGTCTGGCGCACCGCCCGGAGCAATTGCACCAACTCCAATGCCGCTTGCTCTGGCTGGTTTTTCAGGAGCGTCTGCAAAATCTCGGACAAAGCAAAATGGACCCGAAGCAACGTTCTCTGATTGCCCCAATTCAGTTTGCGGGTGAAGTCCGACAAATTGTATGCCGTCTCGGCACTGGCTCCCAGATGGTACTCGACCTCTTTGATGTAGCGGCGGACATGTTTCATAGGATTCTTTCGCATGGCTTTGTGGCCACGCCGATATTCTTTCATAGCCCGGCTCGCACCACCTCGCTTTCCCGTGCTGCTGGTCGAATCCGGCTGCTGGCATCGCTGTCTTCTTGCTCGTCGGGCGCCAAAGCACTTGAACTGCTCTTCTTTCCCGACTTCCCTCTGAGAACTTTTAGCAGCTCCATTGACACCATGGCATTCAGACTTTGACTTGCAAGCTCCGGTTGGCCTGAGTTGATGGCCTGCTGCAATAAAGTCTCGATGCCATTGGATGAAGCCAACTTTTCGTTGCTTTTTCCCGCTGTCAGAAGCGCATAGCGACTGCTTTTCTTCAAAATGCCTGACTTGGGCTTTTCGGAACTTGTAGCCACACCTGGAGCGGCCTTCTTCGCCTTGCGGAGCAGTTGCATGATCTCGTCTGCGCTCCCGTCCTCCTCGTCGGGATCCTCTTCCGATGAATCCTCCACAAGGGCTTGCGGCGTTATCCCTGCAGAAGCCTGGGCCCCGGCAGAAATATCCTCTGAAGCTGTAGCATAGTTCAGATCGTCCTGCTGCAAGGCCACCAGGCCGGCTGCCTTCACTGAGCCGGCTGCCACTTCCAAGCCTCTCATGGCATGGCTGCACTGTTCCCTCATCTGGGACTGCTGTCCCTGCACCAGCATGAAGTGGCATCCTTCACACTCGTAATGAGAAAAAAGTCTGGCAGCCTCCTCGTTGGTCTCACCTGACGTCACTCGCACTGCCAGCACAAAGAATCTACCCTTTTCTGACAGGACCACTGCTTGTCGCCAAGGCGGCTTGAAATGATCCAGCTTGATAAAAACCAGTTGACCAGCCGTCACGACCATCGAATGATGCGCTCGGCAAGCTCTGGGTCCACCTGATGGATAGCAGCCTCAGATCTAAACAGGGCCTGAGCAGCAGCTCGGTTATCAGCTCTTTGGAAACGAATGCTACTAAACTCGTTCCTGTTTGCCTCAAGAATCCGCCTGTAAGCCAACGGCCCCACACTGGTGTGAATGCCAATGACCGGCAGTCCCCCTTCTGGTTTGGGAACCTGCCAGACAGCGTACCAGCGGATGTCGGTCTCCGCTGAACCCACAGAGACACTCTCCGATTCACTGCTCGAAGATTCGCTGGCAGCAGGATTCACTTCAGGTTCAGGTTCTACCACACCTGGGTCTAAACTAAGATCCCTCACCCCCTGTAGCAAAGCAGCTATGTGAGGGTCGGTAAGATCTGGAGCTAGCACCGCCCAAGCGTCTGCCTCAGCGAGAAGATCCACGTCCTCAGGGTCCTGAGAATCCTCAATGGCGTACGGAACAGGGACCTGAGGGCTATGGCTCATACCCCCTTGAACCTCATGGCCACATCGAAACATCCAGTATATATAGTATAATATATATATATATATGATATATATGATATACATAATATATATGATATATATAATATATATGATATAAATATATATATATAATATATAATATACATAATATATATAATATATATAATATATATAACATATATAATATATATAATATATATAATATATATAATATATATGATATATATAATATATACATTATATATAATATATATAATATATATATAATATATATGATATATATAATATATATCATATATATCATATATAGCATATATATGATATAATATATATATAATATATTATATATATTGTATATATATATCATATATATTATATATATCATATATATTATATATATTATATATCATATATATCAAATATATTATATATATTATACTATATATATTATTATATATATTACATATTGTAGATTATATAATCTATATTATATATAATATATAATATTATTATATATATAATATATAATATAGAATATATAATATATATAATATGTAATATATATAATATATAATATATTTAATATATTATATATAATATATGTGATATTATACATGATATATATGATATATATAATATATATAATATATATGATATATATAATATATATATATGATATATTATATATATATATGATATATATGATATATATGATATATATGATATAATATATATATATATCATCTATTTATTATATATATAATATATATAATATATATAA